CTGAAATCCAAGCTGTTCGCGAAGGGTAAACGCGCTTATTCTGCTCGAAAGGGGCGACGCGTGGAAATAAATCTAACGGGGTCGAAGCGGCGATGATATCTAGCTTCCCCGAAGGCGTCGTTCCATTAACCGATATATCGCGCGAGCTCGTTTCTTTCGCGAACCGTTCGCGATAAACTTGTTTCTTCCCTGAATACCAAACGTCGCGCCGTTTCCTCTCGAAACGTCGCACGTACGCGAGTTCGCGACCACGACTTTATCGACACGAAAGAGAGAGAGAGAGGGGAAGCGTAACGGTGGCCCGACGTTAATTAGTACTCCCCTTTAGCCGGTTGTCTTCCATACAAATTAGCCGCTCGCGAAGACGAATTTATGTTTTCGTCCAGCCGTATAATTTTGACGAAATTAGTTAGCGGCAACTCGTTTTTTCTTTCGCGTCGTCAGAATTCCGTGAACGTTGGCGTCGCCGCGATTCGCAATTTTCAGCGAGACGAATGCATAGAAAATTGCACGCCTACCGGGCACGTCCGTTTCGCGATCCACCCTCGCGATAAATTTGCCGCGCGATGCTTTCATCGACGCGCGACGCCGCGAAACGCGATGGATATTTAAACGAATTAGGTGGCCGCGTTCTCGATCGAAACGAAAATGAACCGCTTCGAGGAATGGAATTATTAATAACGAATTCATCGCGAGCTCGATTACCTTCGAAGATCTGGTAGAAACGGCGTTATCTCGATCGGACGCTTCACGCGATTCGCTCGATTTACGTGGTTGGAATCGAACGGAAAGCTTTCAGCCTCGGAGACGAAGAAAAACCGTCTCGCGTGTTTTCGACAGAGACGAGACCCTTTTTCCCGGGCCAAAAATCGGCCAAAAGTTCACGTATTAAAAGTACCTACAAGGCCAATAAATTAGAACTGGCGCTCTGCCATTTCAATCTCGCGGATCTTGCTCGAGACAAGAACGCCGAAAACTCTTCCACGAGCCATCATTTTGTCGGCGAGGGCCGACTTGATTAATTGCGCCACGCGGATCGATTGATTTCGCGTTGGACTTTTTTCTACGTCGAGAGATTAAAGAAGCGAGCGATTCGCGAACAGCGAGAGTCCGCGACACCGAAACGACGCTATTTCCCGTGAACGGGAACACGAACGTTTGTTCCGGTGAAATTGTATTTTCCGACACGAGAAGAAGGAACGCGATATTCGTGCGGGGCTGGAGAGCCGGGCAAGGTTACCGCGTTCGGAACGTACGGCTCGGCAAGGAATTCTCCATCGGAAAAGAATGCTTTAAAGGCGAGCTTTGTCCCGGTTTTGTCCCAGCGAGTTACGTTGCACCGCGAATTGTACCGAAATTACGGTTGCCCCCAACCCTACGCGCGTCGTACCGCGACGAACGTTCTCGGAGGGTGCCAAGGACGTCTAAGGTAGGGGTTCGGGACCACTCGAAATTATTCCCGCTATTCGCGTTCTCGACCCTCTTTCTCTTTTGCCCTTCGCCGAAACAACCTCCGCTTTACCGGCCGCTTTATCGCGTTGCTCGACGCGTGTGTCCCGTAACAGCCCCTTCGCGANNTCGCGTTTCAGCCTCCGACGATTTCGACCGCCTCGGGCAAATCGCTGTTAGACGGAAAACGCTCCTTTCGAAGCGGCTCCTTTTTTTCTTTTTCCTCTCCGCTATCGATCTCGCGAACGGCGTAACGCGCCACGACAGAAATTCGATCGATTCGAGCGTACCGCTCGATAGAGGCGGAAGGTTAAAGCTTTCGTTCTCCGTAGCTCGACGAGTTCGCTTTACTAACACTCGTTAATATCGCGGAAATTAATTGGAATTCGAAAAGTGGGTCTCGAGCTCGTTACTTCTTTCCTTTCCCCGCTTTTGATCGCCTCTGGAAATTAATATCGAGATTTCTCTCGGCAGTTTTTCTTCCGCGGCGAAATCTCGCATAATTTCAATTTAATTAGAGAGAAGGCGTAAATTTTTTTCTTTCTTTCGCGAAAGAGAAAGAGGCAGGCGGCCGGGGGGTGGTCGTCGAACGGATCGCTTTCAGGAGCGACGATCGATTTTAATTCGCGTTTTCGTTGATACGTTTAAATCGGGTCTCGCGGCACGTAGGTACGCGTGTCAGTGCTCCCGTGACCCATCTCGTTCCTCGATGACGTCATTGCTCGCTGGCGTAAACCTATGACGAATATGGCG